CCGCTCCGCCTTGGAACTCCGCCAGGGCGGGGCCGGTGGTACCCGGCGCTTTGGCTGGCTGTCATCAGTCGCTATGGCAACATGAATCGCTTGCGCCGCTTCTCCTCGCCGGTGCCGCTTAGTCGGTTTCTTCGGGGTTCCTGGAGTAACGCTAGCGTTTCTGAAAATGAAACTGGCAAAAGACGAAATAAAACAGCCTAGGGTGGGGTGTAGTCAGAGAATATCGTCATTTCTGGGCGTAAAGTCTTCTCTGCAGACCCCTAGAGGGCTAGTGGGCATCGGGGGAGGTATTCTGGGATGTCCTTGAAACGCCTTCTCGGGGTCGGCGTCATGCACTAAGAGGTTCCAGGCGAAGCAACACACAACCTGAAGGCCACCTGGTCGCGAGTGAACAGAGGTGCGCAGCTCCCACCCCGTTTCCTACCGGCTAGCGGACTCCTGCGGTGATGAGCGGCTGCTGGCTTGCGTTACTTCCTCCCACCACTGGGGGCCGCCCTTGAGTTAAGGGCCTATAGAAGTGCCGAGGTAGAAGGGTAGGGGAAAGCTCTGGACAGCGCCGTTTTTCTTACCAACTCTGCCAGATGGGTAATTATCCACATTACACGAGGAGAAAACGAGGTACAGTGGTCCACCCTTACCCTCGTACCCCCTTATCCTGCCAGGGATATGTTCCAAGACCCCCAGTGGATGCCTGAAAGGCTAGGATTGAAGCCTATATATAATATTTTTTTCCTACAATACATACAATAAAGCTTAATAAAATCAGGCACAGCAAGGGATTAACAATAACCAATAAAACAATCAAAACAATAGACTAATAAAAGTTATGTGAATGTGATCTTCCTCTCTCTCACTCTCTCTCAAAATATCGTATTGTCCTGTACCACAGCATGAATGTGCTGGACAAAGAGATGATTCACATTTTGGTGGGAGGGAGAAGGGCTGCAGGCGGTTTCATTAGGCTGCTCAGAACAGGCACAATTGAAAACTTATGAATTGTTTATTTCTGGGATTTTCCGTTTAAAATTTTCAGACTGGTTCACCTCTGACAACTGAGACTGCAGGAAGTGGAAATCCAACTACTGAAAAGGAAGGACTTAGTGTCCTTTCAGTAGTGGGCATTTTGTTCCAATTTTGCAGCCAACATGCAGTAGAGATTTGATGAAGTCTGACGCAAAGCCAGCCTCATCCCTCAACATCTCAGAATGAAAAACTTTCAAACATACAGAAAGAAAAAAAAAGAATTTTACTACCTATCACCATGGCCTTACACCCTACCACTTGGATTCTATCAACATTTAACTAGACTGATTTATTACCTCTACTATCCACCTCTGTATCAATTCATCAGTTCACCTTATTTCCCAGGGAATACCCAAAGACTTTTTTATCAGAGAGCCTAAGGCCTAGATTAGGCTCTGGAAGGGGATATGTCCTTCTGCCTCAGTGATGCTAAGTCAAAGCACTGAGCTGCTGCATCTGCTTTGCTTAAACCCTGCAACATTCCATAAATCTGAAAATTATTGTCAATTCTTTAAGATGATCATTTCCAAACAGGATTCTTAAAAATCATAGAATGAGGGGAAAGCCCTCATTTTTAGAATCGTGTAAGCTCCAAAGTGTGACTCCGTGTTTCGCATTCTGAGGGAGGCTGCGGCTAAGGCTCACTGCTGCCCTGCGGGCTCGCCTGCGTCCCAGGCCACTCCCGCCCGAGGCCTCTCAGCCGCGCCCTTCCCCCCGGGGCACCGGCGCCGACCCCCTGAACGTGGGGGCTGGGAGGGACGTAGAGAGGAAGTCCTTTATTTTCTTGAGAAAAATAAAAACCACCGCCAGAAGGAACCTGAGGCGCAGTTATAGAAAACCTGAGAGGCCCAAGTCAGCGCCCCCGAGACAGCTGCGCAGGAAGCTCATCCTTGGCGGGCCCCGGGTCCAAGTCCGCTAGCTCTGGGCCCGGGGGCTGCGGGGGCGGGCGGAGCGTGGGGAGCCCGCCGAGGAGGGCGTGAGGG